TCAGTTTTGCGTGGCCGTTGCTGCCTCTCGCTTAAACGATATCGTACCAAACCCAAAGTTGCCGCATCCAGAATATTCCATTTTCTGGTCACACATCACACGGACTTTGATACAGTAGTAAGTAAACCGAACAGAGTCTTTGCTCTTTTATGCACCCGAGGTTCGAGCGTCATCGTGGCACGTCAACTATAATTCTACGGAATCTGTAAAAGAACATTTTTTCCCCAAAAATTTGTACTTCCTTATTAATGAAAACTGACTTTAGGAATTTCTGGGCTCAAAGCTGTGAACTTTATAAAAAGTGTACGTAACTACTGATTCTACATAAAATTTGTAACAAATTGGCCAAAAAATCATCTTATTATATACGTTTCATATCTTGCAGTAGAAACCCAGAAATAATGCACGTATGCACGCCTACTATTGCTAACGGCGTATATTTTCCATCATCGTAACATTCCCATCAGAGAAAAGATGTAACATGAAATTAAATAAAATAATTATCAAAAGAGATTAGTAGTGCTTTGTAATTTCCTGACGTGGACAAATTAATATTTGCCATGTCCGCTGAAGACGCTAAATCTCAGGTAGTGAAACAACTGGTAACAAGCGCATCCTATGGATCTGACGCTAAAGCCGAGGAACCAACCTGAGTGACCACTCAGAGCCTGGAATGGAGTACCAGTGGCACAATCGGTGACATAGATCTTGCAATCACCAGCACCGCCACTGATCAGAAGGCTAGACTTGTTACTTGTGTCCTCAAGAAAGCAGAGGTCCCTCACTGTCCCGTCATGCATTGTCAGTTCAATCTCTTGTCCTGCAAACAAATTATCAACAGAAACGAGACAGAATTAGTATTAATCTTTCCGCCACACACCAAAAATGCTGCGTACGACTAACGAATCTGCCAATAGTTCAGATTTTACAGCGTCAAATGTCAGAATGGTTAATGCGTAATGAACGGGATAGAATATAAAATTGGGGGTCCGCAGTGGCCGTGCTGTCTGAGGCGAGGGCCTGGTGTCGCTTGGTCACTGGGACCGCGGGTTCGAATCCCACTCAAGCCATGGATGTTTGTCCCCGTTGTCCTGTGTACAGGCAGAGGCCTTGCGACGGGCCGATCCCTCTTCCAAGGAGTCCTACCAAAATGTCTATAGATCAAAGCCAACAAAAAGTTTGGACTCGCAGTGCTCAGGCACATGGAGAACGGGTCGTTCCCAGTACCCAGAATATGAAATTGGCCTAATTTAACCTTTATCATACAAGTATAGGAGTTGCTGTTGGTGGACTCGTGGCGAGTGAGCTCGCCACTGGACCCAATGTCCACGGGTTCAAACTTGGCCGAGGTCGACAGATTTTTAAGGGTGATAAAAATCTGTAGCACAACTTCCTTTGGAGAGGAAGTAGAGCCGGTGGTCACATGTCGTGGTGCTCAATGCAACGGTGGCTTTAGCAACAAATTACTATTTTGAGGTTTTCATGGTAGCGCCGTGTCATCTGGTAGATGTTTACTGACATTTCAGAGGTCCTCGCAGCCTCTGTCATCAGGGCAATCATCACGCTGGGCGCTACAACCTAGAAAGCAGCTGCTTTAGACTTTTTTAAAATTCTTAGGTTTCCCAACAAACTATTTTTGAAAACAGAGTCGTAGACGTGTGGAACTCGGCAAAATGCGATTGGCGTTCGGAGGATCCGAGTGGCTACAGTACACACGTATGAGAACAATACAGACATGCACGCGCCGCGTAGAACAGAACACACGTTTTCAAGCCACTCGGTTGAACCGAACAGATTTTGTAAGCACTCGTTCACTTCAACGTAGGTTTTACTTACTTCCTGGTCGTCTCGTACAGATAACAGTTCTTTAAAATACTTTCTTATTACAAAATCACACACAAGCCCAAAGTTTGACCTAAACTCAGGTCAGAGCGGCCTCTTTCCATGAAGTTTCATTTATAAAAGGCTTTTAACAAAAAAAACAACAACAAAGGTGCAGTCGTCGTAACTGTAAAGGCAATTCAGTTATCTCACCTTCCAGGTTCGAGGTGTCCGTGTTAAACCGCATCAGCTTCACCGTCTTGTCGTTACTCCCAGTAGCCATTAAGTCCCCCATCGGTGTCCATGCCAGGCAGTAGATGGAACCCTTGTGATGCTTCGTGCGTTTGAAGAGTACTGTCGGTTGGTACGTGACATGGTCCTCCCTGAAACAAGAAATACGAAAATAATTTTCATTATACAGCCTCAAAGTAAAATCACAAAAAGTTTTTGAAATAAATGCCAGTAATAATGTAATATTCGGGTGGAATCACAAAACTTAAAACGTATTGCCGGATGATCGACATGGGATGGGAGACAGACAGTGTAGCCAACCTGCAAAAAAAAATATCCTTATGGAATCAAGAAATTTACTCATTTGGTAGACGTTAAGACAAAATAACACAAAAATTGTTACATGATGGAAAATTTTCAAGGTCATATTTGAATTTTGTTACCGAAACATTGTTGATCAGTGTTATTAGACCACGAAATTGTAATTAGTAAGTGTAGATGACAAAATGGTAGTACGTGCATTGACGGTACTGATATGTGTGCAGTATATTAAGCACGATTGTGGTTAAACAATTATTTAATTCTGAAGACAGCCATCTTTGTACTCACCGCCGTGAAAAACTCACATTTAATCTATTTAACAAGCACAACAGAAAAGTTACCTTTAAAATATTTCCAAGTTTATAGTGAATTATACATCTGTAAATGTTTGATCACAAAACATTTAAAACACCACGTCTCAGTATTTGGTTTAATATGACATGTTTCAGGCCCACAGACCCATCTTTAGGTCTATATTTACTTTCACATTAACACACTGCTACAATTCTTCTAATTTAATGTCGAAACATTAAAATTTCTAATTAGGTACTTATAACTCCTTCTAAAATGTCATAATCCCATGTCTGGGCTATCGGAACATCCTAGATTTCAATATTTCATCCCTTCTAGGTCCAAAATATCTTCCTGAGCACTCTGTTTTCAAACACTTATAATCTACGTTCTTCCTTCAATGTAAGAGACCATGTTTCACTATAACAATAATTTCGCTAAATAACTTGTAAGTAGTGTGAAGACGTAAATGTCTTTGAGGATGAATAAATTACTACTTCGTTCTCCACCGTGCATCGCACACCTGCAAATTAACGACGTTAGTGAAAGTTGTGCGATTTCATACTCAATAATCCCTTGAAATCGGTTTCATTCCACTGAGCCACATGGCCAGCGAGGCGAGCGTCCACCAGTCTGACAAACTTTCTCCGGATTTAAGTGCATCAACAGGACACGTAGACCGATCACTTTTATTCTGCGAACGCCTTGCCCTTCTAATCTTACACAAGCAACAAGCAGATCCTCAAATCCTCAAGAAAACATCAGTAAAGACAGGCAATCACTGGAAAGAATACTGCAACATTCAGAATGACAAACAATTCCACTGAACCTTCAATCACTGGGGAAGGCGGAAGAAGTGTGGTGCTGACTCAACTCCATCTAGTGGTGAAATTCCTAAACACGACGATAACGCCAAACTCTCGGAACACAGAGCAAGATGATGTCCCCAGGTAAGCCCAATCGCAGGCGAACTACGCGGTCACATTACAAACGACAACGCAGTACGAATTCAATAATCTGATCGAGTTATATCGGGCAAGGCAAAGCTTCGTCGAACTTAATCAACCTTTGAAGCCGAAAGACTTCCCTATGATTCTCCCCGTAAACAGAGATTATTTTCGTAATGGTTACGTGTGGCGTTTTCTTCGCGGTACGGACTGAATAACCAAATAATATTCAAACGAACTTTGTTAAGCTTTTAAGGGTTAAAACACCACAGCATAAAGACTCATGGAGAAGTGAGGTTAATGTTAGCTCCACACATTACCCTCGGCAGGTTCACGCCTCGGCCGATTTGCCTCCAAAACAAAAGAGACTCCGATATCCAATTCAGACACAGCTGGATGGGTCTCAGGGCCGGGTTGATGGGGTGAGAAGAGAATCGAACCCCAGTAATCCAGTCTACTGCTTAGCCGCCGTATCGACTGAGATATCCTGGTGCAGACTGCAGTTAAAATGGACGGCGCTGCACAATTCTGGTAAAAACATACGAATCCTCTTTTCAAAATCTCCGTGATTTGGGGATGGAATGAGTGTTGCTACTAACATTACGCTGAATCAGCCTACACGAGGAAACGAGGAACTGGTTTACAGTCAGTCTCGGTAGTGTCAACTTGGCATTGACATCAAAGACTACCTGGCCTTCGAGGCGTATTCATAACAACTTTTACTTGCATCAATTTGCGCACAAACAAGTCTTGGCCATCAGTTGGTCTATCAGCCAGTACAGACGTCGAAACACAGGCTTTGATCTTACGCGAAATTACTGTTCGCGAAAGTGAAGTAAGTTCCTGAAACGTGAAGTCACGTGCCGCACTACTAGCAGACCGAAAAACGTCGTGCTTGTTCAGATTTGATTTGAACTTCACTGGTAACAGTTTCAACCACTGGAAGTTATAAAACAGTCAGTAATAATAAAACAAATGGATGAACAACTATGATCTTGACAGTGAAGCAGCGAAAAGCACGAGAGACTTGTGAGAAATATATTTGTAATAAACACGAATGTCCACCACTCGGGTACGGAGGAGCGGTTTACGCATGCGCACTACATCGGTTGCTTTCCATGCTTGTGACGTCACAGGGACTTTCTGAACTCTTGCGTGCAGTACAAAGGAACTACTGACCTTTAACAGGAATGAAAGTAAAATAACCGCGAGATACATTTTACCAAGTTTGATTTCTGAATTTCCACAGACAACTTGAAAACTTTCAGAAGAAAAAAAACATACAGTTCGATAACTGCGATAATCTAATGGGACCACTGGCAATAGTAACTCGATGGAGCGAAGACCTTCGATGGAATTTATCAGTCGCTAAGCTGGTGAAGTCACCTCCTCCATGAAACCGGAAGATTCACAGCAGTGTCCAAAAGATCCCGCCATTGCAACATAACTTGTAGCTGTGTAGACCAAAATACTTTAAAACCAGAACAAATAACTGTTTTGTTAATTAAATTAATCTCAGTAGACCCACTGCTCGTATTATTAATATGTGCATGACTTATAGATAATAGTTTTACGACTGTATCACGTAAAATGGACCTGACATTTACAGCACGGCGCAGTAATCCCAAAAAGTCAAATACTATTAAATAAACCTGATATTGTGTCGATGTTGATCCCGGGTAGTAACGCTGTGCGGACTTGTGGCCAGATACCAGAATTTCGGAGGAACATACTTCAGGGCGTTACAGACCAAATCACCAACACAGCAACCAACAACCTCAAACATTAAATGACTTAGTGCGTGTGCTCCAGATACAAACCTGAGATCTGAGAGTTTGGGGTACGAGCAGATACGTAATGTTTTGGAATTGGACCCCACGGCGTAGAGCTTGCCCTGGGGGTGAAACTCCGCGCAGCGAACAGCTTGAACATCTTCTAGAGACGTGACAGCCACAAACCGAGGCCTTCCGGCACCTCCCCCTCCACCATTCACTTCAGCATCTGCTCGAGGCACGGGCTACAAGAAACAAAACATAACAAGTCAAACACTTCTATTTCCTGTCTCGCAGAATAACGATCCTGACGTAAACAAACATGTCACCTTCCGCCCGACACAAGACTGAAGGCAGACCGGTGTGCGCATTCACAAGAAATAGTTCCACTACTTAATAATCACTTCTCTGTCGCGTACTGACCAGGAGAAGGCGTGGAGTCTGGCATCACACGATTCAAATTCGTATGGGCAGTCGGTCGTCTCATCAGACTTCAAACCTTTCACTGGTTTCCAATTCAGCTGTCACGTTCCGTCTATCACGCAATTCAGAGCAGTTTATTATTCGGCATGGCACAAAATCTCTCCACGGTGAGATGGAGAAAGCGACAGGAGACAATGCTTGGAAAAGTCTCGTCTGTAGACTTCGCATTCATTGCCAATCAAGTAATAATAATAATCATCGTCATCTCACTGGAGATATCAAATCGAGAACATGACATGGCGATATACGTTCATAGAAAATCTGTGAAGCGTAAAGAATATCCACAACACCTCGTTCTGACAAGTGAAGGAAGTTCTACGAACGAGACGCCACGTAGTGTTAGAAAATGAAACCTCGTTGCAAAAGACAACTGACAGGCTGGCGTGAAATGCAACGCCTCTTGTACAGTCACGGCGATAATGTCTGTCTACTAACCCCTTGAAGCCCAATGGTAACCTTACGTACCATCTACTTCCTCAATCAATAATTCTGCATTATGTATACATACGATTCTGAGTGTAAACAACGGATTATTTCCTTAAACATCATTTACCAGGTGATATTTGTAATGGCGTAATGTTGTGTTTTCTTTGCAGTAGGGGCTGAATTTTTAAATATTATTTAGACGAGCTTCGGCTTCAACTGTATTGAACTGCAACCATCAATAAATATTTTAATATTTACTGTGTGATTTTTCGATAACCCTACAGTATAGCGATACATTTAACATCGAGATCGCAGAACTTACAAATATCAAAATGATACAAAAATACGCGGGAAATATAACCTTAAAATTGCACATCGAAGCTCAAGCCATGTTCGGATAATCGTAATTATTGAAACTCACTTTCCTGCCATCGGGAAGTCAACTTAGCGACAGTTAAAATATGGACATTAAACTGTTTATGGTAACAGATCTTCATAAACGCATTACTCGCATTAAAGTCATTTCAAAAACATGGCGACCGCGCGAAGTCTATATTTACATATCTTTCAGTCTGATGTGTCCATGACATCATCAAAACAACAGCAAAGATGGCGCTCAACGTTATCTTCCCACAATGCAACAGCGGCCAGCTGTTCTCACGAACACTTCACGTCTGTCATCTGCTAAAATCATGCGGTCTACTTCACAAAACTGGGACAACGAACAGACATAACCTCAAAACTCACCCACAATGTTGGAAGTTAGGATGAAGTGTGAAACTCACACAGGATTCTGGCGAGATAACATCTTTAAACATAAGCATGTCAGGGACATTTAGGACCAAAATATGCTGTGAGTAGTAGCCTCACACTCCGCAAAAATACCTTCGCGTATTAAGGCTTTGACCGGGATGTTCTTTTGTTAAATCTTATGTGGTACCGCCTGATTCGACTTCTAATGGTTAAGTGAAGTGTTTTCTTCGCGGTACGGTCTGGAATCGTAAATATTATGAAGACGAGCTTCACCTTCAAAGGGTTAACCAGCTGATTTTCGTAATGGTGAGGTGTAGTGTTTTCTTCGCGGTACGGGCTGAATTCATAAATAATATTCAGACGATCTTCGGCTTCAAGGGGTTAAATTACTTTTTCGGTGTAACATAATTCTGTGAACATCGATTAATATTCCGATATAAATACCCAAGGTTTAATTTATAAAAAAAACAAGAAAGCAATGTGATCGGCGTTCATTACGAATTCGATCTCCATAAAATGTCGATAAAGCATTGTAACTCGGAAGTTTTAAAAAATTATCACAGAACACAGTGCACTCAGTGACTGAAGCACCATGGTGTTGACGAATTTAGGCAGAGTTTGTGCACTGCCCAATTTCAAAGAATCTACAACTGTCGGAATGCAGAGATGTAGTGTAGCCTTTTCACAAGGGTCTGGGGGGGGGGGGGGGGTAATAATGTTGCATTTCCGTACTATCTGACTTTCCAGACCAAGTTTCGCCACGGAATCCAGTCCATAATATTTCTTTAATTTTACCCTCTTGTTTACTTATCGGGCTTCTGAGTGTTTTGATACTTTAACGCTTTCGTGCGAAATGTAATAAATACGTATTTATCATCTTCCAATCTGTGACAGAGTTGTATTTCGTCTGTCACATCTTCCGAGATTCGAACACCGCCGTAAGCTACTGTCTATTGATGTGTACTGATTACGAAGTGCTTCATGAATATATCTCTCTCTCTCCAGCTACGTGTGTGATCTAGGCACAGATCAAAAGACGGAGTGTCGAGCAGTGCTAGAATGATAATTATCAGGGGAAAATAAAACTTGGGAGAAAAACCTTCGTCCACCACAGAACTTAAAAGTCACCCACGACTGTACCCGTGTCTCTGCGGTGAGAAGCCAAATTCTAGCTACCTCAGCTAATCTTCGTAAAGTCCAAATATGTCAGACTGGGCTGAAATGCTAGAATATGCTAAATATGTCGGAACACAAAATATAAACTCTGTACACGACGATTACACATCAATTTCGGCGGCAATTCATACTTTGGAACAGCATTCGTACCTTTCTGAAAAATGTGAAATTACTCGTATGTGGCACTACGTAAATAACCACTTAATTTATCACAAAATCAATGTTAACATATGTTTTACGTGCGTTTTGAAACAAAAAAATCACACAATTAGTCTCACGGCTGGGTTCGCATTAAAACAGACCGAAACTGGTCGATTTAGACCAAACTCGAGACAGCGTCTACAAAAAATTGTTTCGTAATCCCCCCCCCCCTCCAAGTCTTAACTATCTCCCAACGTTCTTCTAACTTAAGTGCCTAAGGGAACTAAAATGCAAATGTCCGCCCTTCTCTTTTGCAGATACTGATCAAACTTGGCACACGACACTTATTAAATGCGACTCATAATGTTTACGTCATTAGTTTAAAATCTAACATTCTTCAGAGTACGCCTATTAGGCCTGACACGAAAGTAAAAATTTATTCAAAAAAGTTACAGTTATCCTCCACACACACACACACACACACACGACCCACATTTCTAAAAAATTCTACAAAAGTCGAAATCTTTCAACCTAATCGATACCTGAATAAACCTAACCTATCGATAGAAATTTATCGTCGACCTGACGACGTAGGCAGTAAGCCTCTCTGACACGTCGGTCGATTTCTACGGCATAACATAACTGAAGAGATCCATCTTCTGTTGTTTCAGTCTGTTGGATGTAAAATGAAGACATCAAACTGAAAGCTACGTCATCCAAATGCATATAACCTAAACGTCTGCAGTAAACATGAGCCGACTAAAAGATCATGGACGTATATCGATATCATTGACGTGAATCGACTATGTTTTCTGAAATATCGACTTCTAATTCCATTAAACCATTACCCGTTAATGACCGATAGTTATTTTTCTGTTCATTGTCTTTTATTGAATCTTGCGTCGTTGCAGGAGTGCAGTTACAAACAAAACTGTTTAATTGTGTTCCTAACGGAAATCATGGTCGAAAAATATTCGGAAATGTCAAAACTCCGAAAAACGTTCTGGGTTCAAAACCCGGTGACTGCGGTTTCTACAGCTCGTAAATTAAGAACGACAGATGTTTGTTTCAAGCCAGAAGATTATAGTAAGGTCACAAATCTAAAATCTGTCCTGGATTCAACATTAAAAATGTCGTGTTCAAGCATAATTTTTTTTCAAAAACAAAAATTCTTTTGCAACGAAACATATCAAATAATCAGGCCTACAAGAAACTTTCGGGCAGTAAAGATTAATAACAAATACAATAATACAATTTCCCAGCATTAACACTACGAACATTCTGCTAGTTTAAATAGAAACGGGGAAGTTACAAGCAACACGCATTTGAAGTGTCGTCTCCAAGAAGCTTTCTTGTTGAGAAATATCCGCGACCGAATTCCCTTCCGGTTTCCAACACAAACATCTGCATTACGTAAAGCAGTCCTTTTCAGAATCTTGGCCATCGCTGCTTTCCACTGGTTCTGCCTTTCACTCCAGTAGAGTCATCGTGTTACAAGTTCCAGACGGAAGACTTCACATCTCATCACTTGCCAAAACGGAGTATCACAGAATCTATTATTTCGATTTCGTATATTGCAGCGTGTACTTAAAAAGTACCGAAGACTCTCTAAAGGCTTGTCAAAAACAGTTGACTCTCGATTAACCGCGGTGGTTGGTAAACATTTTTCTCGGATAATCCGCAAAAATTACAAAAAAAAAACTCGCTAAAAAAACAAAAATACGTAAGTTTATTTACAGACATACTCTACTTAATTTTTGTATAGATTTACTAATAACAAAGAGGATTTAAATATTCCTGGAAAAGGGGCTCTCACATTTGTGTACACGGAAAAACTGACGGCTTCAGTATCATGAGATCCGCATTTGTAGAGGTCAGCGATATAAATGTCAATACAGCCCAGCCAACATTTAAACGCCCTATTAGTACAAGATTAAACTCCCATTTGCATGTACGTCTCGAACCAGGGCTGTGGAGTCTGAGTCGATAAAAATGTACTGACTCCGACCTCGATATAAAATCTTAAGAACACTTTTGCTACCGTGTAGGCCGCCGGCAGCCTACCGCTTAGGAAGATTCAACGACGTGTTGAGCCATATGGTGTGGGAATAATGCTTTGTAACTTTGGCTCCAGTACCTTGTGAATACAAACTGTCTTCAAATCAAACGATTTCTGCAATAAACATTATACATATATTTAAACATATGTTACAAGTCTAAAAAGTAGCCTGATGATTAACGTGGTGATGATGAAACCTCTTGTGGT